GGGACCTCTGGGAAGTGCTTTAAAATCCTACAAGCCATTGCCTTTGGTTGGTTAAAACACCTACTGTTTGAAAAAGAGAAAATGCCCTCATTTGAAAAATCTTTCTTGTATTTGGATCTATTAAGATAAACAGTTTACTTTGCTATGGTACATACCAATCTACTTACTTAATTTTTCTTTCCAGAATTCATTTTACTGTGTTTGGTCGGACCTTCTATAATAACTTAATATAGGAACAAATTAGCATATAATTCTATTTTCCATGTGACCTCAACCAGTTGCAGAATTACACTATGGGGGGCAATGTGATAGTTTATGTAGACTGCAGCATTAAGTGTTTGCAAATGCTCAGGGCATCCTGGCTAATGTGTTATCAAATACGTGTTAAAGTCAGCAGTTAGAAGAAATACTCACCCTGGTACTAAGTTATTAAAATGCCTCCTAAAGGTAACATTTTTAATTAGTGTACATAATTGATTAGTGATTTGTCTTCTCCTAAGCATAGAGCAGCATGGCAGAGTTAAGTGCAGTGGTGAAGGGTAAGATATTAGGGTTTGATGGTGACAATGATCACGACAACTAAATGGATTTTTTTTTCTTTTAGATTCAGCTATCGGTCTGAAATTTCCTGTGGTCTGTTCAATCTAGATGCAAAGGACATGGAAAAATCAAGTGCTCAAGTGCTTTAAATATGTTTTGGATGTTCCTATTTATAGACTATAGTATTTTCCGATTAAAATTCTCAGTTGTCCTTCAGAAGAAGGTTATGCACTTCTTGATTATTAGTTTTAAATGCTTAGTTTTGTAGAGTATTTCCACACATTTTCTGTTGTAATCCAAGTAAAGGAAAAGATCAATTCTATATGTTGACTTTTTTTCTAAAATGTCTTTATTGGGTTGAATGAATGTTTATACCTGAAAAAGTAGTCTCCAGAAAAATCCCTTTCTCCATCAAAGAAATTCTTCTGGCAATCCAATGATTAGAACAGGTTTAAAATCACTCTTTAATGTGACCGTGTTATATTTGGGGGAGAGGAAAGACTTGACATGTATATATATGTATGTATTTTAATTCTCTACATTCACTACCTCTGGAATAGAACATTTTCTCCTCAATAAATCTATTAGCTCAACTCACATACAAGAAACAATCGCCTTAATTGGCAGAGCATTCGTTATAGGTTTAAATATTTGATTTGTGTAATGAAGGATGACATCCAGTTTTCACAGAGTTCTTACATTTAAGTAGACTGAACACGGCCGAGTTGCCTCGCCACTGGGAGATTCCTTCTTGTGGCCTTTGCGGTGGCTGTGGGGACGCGGAAGGATTCCTCTGTGGCAGGCAGGCCTCTGGCTTCTGGTGTGAACACTGCAAAGGAGTGAGTCTGACCAGAGACAGCCCTCAGCTCGGGGCCTGGGGAGGTTCACAGATGCGGGTGCCGCTTCTGGAGACTGCTCCATCCACTTCTATAGTTCTTACAAAGAATCACAGCGCTATGATGGATTACTAAGCTCAGATCGTAATATGACAAAGTGGTTTTATTAGGCTAGAGTATTTCTTTTTATTTTTATATTTAATTAAACTCTGTATTTTGAGATGATTATAGATTTCACATGCAGTTGTACTAAATAATGGAGAGATGCCTTGTACCCTTTACCCAGTTTCCCCCAATAGTAACATCTTACAATATATAGGACAGTATCCCAACCTGGACATTGACATTGACACAGATACAGAACATTTCTTTCATCACAAGAATTCCTCATATCGCCCTTTTATATTCATACTCACTCATTTTCAACCCCTCTACCTAACCCTAACAACAACTAGCCTCTTCTCCAGTTCTATAATTTTGTCTTTTCAAGAATGTTACATAAGTGGAATCATATAGTATGTAATCTTTTAGGATTGACTTTTCTCACTCAGCATAATTTTCCAGAGATTTATTTTGCACATATCAACAGTTTGTTCTTTTTGATATTTGGGTGGTATCCTATGAGTGACTGGCCTGTGTTTTGTAGCCATTCACCAGTTGGGGCAGGATTGCTTCCAGTTTTTGACTATTATGAATAAAACTGCTATAAACATTTGTGTACAGGTTTTTGTGTGAATGTAAGTTTTCATTTTTCTGGGATAAATGCCCAGGAGTGCAATTGTGGTTCATATGATAATTACATAGAGTATTTCTTTTTAAGAGTAGAATTAATGTTTTGTGTGTGGAAGGGAAGATGGAGGACATCTACATTTTTGCAGTGTTTTTGCTTTAACTGGATTTGCTTAGGATTTTAAAACATGCAGACTCTCATAAATAACTTATAGCCAGCATCAGAAAAAATTTTCAACAGTCTATTTTTTTAATAAACATACTTCTTTAAAAATTGTTTTTTCTTTGGAGGTAAACAATTCCTATGTAAGGAAGTAAAAGGAGACATATATTATAGAAAAGGTGTTGCAAAGTGGACAGGTTGCTTGGAGAAATTGGGAATTTCCCAAGTGTTAATAAAAACATTCAAGGATATGTTGTGAGTTTCTGAGTTGATGGGCTCCTGCTTTGGTTGCTGTCATCTTCCCTATAGTTTTTATATGTAGAATTAATTCATTATCTTTACGATTTGTGTTCAGTGCTGTTGCAGTTAATACTCATTTAATTCAACTATATGCACTTAGTAGAAAAAAGAAAAAAATTTAAGCATTGTTTCCTAGTACATGGCCCCTAAAAATGCAACTACTTTACAGGATGCTTAGTGGAATAAACAGATCCCTTCCAAATCCTGGTGGAAATGATACTGTTACATTATACTTACTAAGACATAGGGAGCTATGGACAAAATCATGTGTGCTCTCTTTTAGGGGAGACCCACTGAAAGGATAGGATATTCAAGGATAATTTTACTCTGATTTTTCACCATACATACTGACTTTAGACCTCTCATGGAAGATGTAACTCCATTTTAAAAAAAGAAACATTGGATGTGGTTAACTGGTTACAATGATCCTTCTAATAAAAGTTAATATTATAAATCTTTAACTTGTCCGAGTGAGGCCCTAGGCTCAAGGGACCCCCATCTTTCAATGCTTCTAAATATTGTTTCATCTTTAGCCCATTATAGTCATGACCATAGTAATATAAATGACATAAAATGTAAAAGAAATCCTTGCCCTTAGGAACGACCTGGTAAAGGGTAGAACGTACACAGGAATCTTTATTTGCCGGGAGTCGTTTGTCGTTAGCAGCGGTTGAAGCGCCGCATCGGCTGGCACTGCAGGCGCGGGGACCCGCAGTCAAGAAGAGCAGCAGCCCCACCGCTGTTCTCTTAGCGCGGGCCTCACAGCACTCAGCGTGCAGTGGGGTCAGGAGAGTAAAGAGAAACTGAGACAGAGACAACACGGTTGTGCATTGCTAGAAACCAAGAGCCTTCAGAACTCAGGAGAGAGCCTAGGAGAGCTGACACTGCGGGAGCAGGCCTCACGGAGAGTGGCATCTGTGTGACATGGAGAACATCGGGTAGGGAGAGGGAGGTGAGCCCCAGTGGCTTGTTGGAAGTGGGGTGAAATCTGGGCGTCAAAAATATATGTCGCTGCCCCAGGGTAATTTTAAACAGCTTCCTATATTTTAGGGAACTGACCAGAAATGAGGCATGCCTTTTTTTTTGGCATGCTTTTTTGTTGTTGTTGTTTTGAAGAGTAATACTTGAATTTAAGTATGTGGGTTTGAGTGAGAAAACAAATGGATGCTCTTTCTCCTAAAAGTAGGGCTTGGAAGTATCCTTTAGGTTATGAGGCTCAATCTGTCTGTATTTGTGTGTGTGTGTAAAACAAAATATTATTTTCCTCTTTTTATGTTTAATAAGCAATATAATATTTTATACTTTTGTAGTATCTTAAATACATAATCTGTAAGACTATAATACTTTATAAAATTTTAGTTTACTTTAGGCTTAGCATAATAGAAGAACTTAAAGTTCTTTTGAAAAACTTCAGAGTTAAAACTGCAAGATCACTTACAGATAAAAAGTTACATAAAGCATACATTTGTAAGATTATATATAGAGCTGATGGCCTTACTAAAAAACTATTTTGAGCAACCTAAGAAAGTACAAGTATTTCTGTGCATTATTATTTTTTAACTGTTCCAGGTAGTAAGAGAGCTAAGAAGAGCCTTTTCTAAATACGCATCTAATTTTAGGCAGCTAAAATAGGAAGCTGTAATATGACTGAGGCCCCTCATACTTGGGAACTTGGAAAAAGAAAGAGACATAGGGTCTNAAAATAGGAAGCTGTAATATGACTGAGGCCCCTCATACTTGGGAACTTGGAAAAAGAAAGAGACATTACACTTTCTTTACATTTTTATAAATTGCAGAGTGGTCAAACTGGTAATAAAGACAGTAAAGTTAAGGTACTCAGGATTCTCTACGTAATAGTATCGATTCCAGTATCCCCAACTATATAGCATTGCCAGCACAGAGGTCAAAATGAGTTGTGTCTTATGAAAGAGCTACACTAGGTCGGTGACTTAAAAGTTCTGAGCATATGTAATAACCAAGCATATGGAATCATCTTGTAATACTGTGTATCGAGCAGTTTAAAAAAATAAAAAGGAACTGGTGCAATTTTAGACATTTTAAAAAAAATTTTGCAAATATTGCAAATCGTAGGTTGGTTACCACCAGACTTCCTGACTCTGCCGTGATTGCTGTACTCTCTGTATATTCTTGTAAAATGCCAGGCACTTTATAATTTTGTCTGTAATTGTTTACATATATTTTCTCCACAAAACGTTTTTAGAACAACTTATCGCTACGTTTCCTTCACCCACGCGTCATCTTTAAACTTTACACATGAGTGTACCGCAGCGTCGGTTGCAAGACACATTAGTAGACTGTTGTATTTTTTTCCAGGAACCGTCTTATTTAAAACACCTTCCAAACTCAATGCGTAAAAATAGCAGGCCACTTGCGCCTGCAGGCTTTTGAAGCTGGAGAAGACTTGTTTTTCAATGAAGAAGCTGAGTGAGCCCCTGGAAGATGAAGTGACCTGCTAGTAAGTGATAATGAGGATCTTTTGACTCCAAAGCACATGCTGCCGACTTGAAGATGCATGTCCCCAATCCTGGAAACTCAATTTACAGATACTTGTATTACAACCCTAGTAATATTTTATTCTACATATGGTAGAAATAAATGCCTGCTGTCAACTCCACATATCATGTAAGCATTTTGCCACTGAACGTGGGTACAAGTTGCCAATTAAAGTGCGTGAATCTCAGAGCTGAATTTTAACCAATAGGACGTGCCATTTATTCGTTACCATCTATGCATACCTACTGTGTTTTAACGTTGTGTTAAATCCGGGGAATCAAATATGGATATGACATATGCCCTGAATTTAACAGTGTAGTGTTGGGCTCAGGTCTGGAGAGAAAATGGTGAACAGAACGCGGCGTTTGCTCTTGTGGAGCTTGGAGTTTAGCATCTACTGGGGAGAGGTATAAACAGACCCGCACTGCTTGGTAAGAGGGAAAGGCCGGGTTCTGGGGGACCACAGGGGGGCCACCACTAACCAAGGCTGACAGAGGGTGGGAAAGGTCAAGGTAGGCTTCCTGGAGGAGAGGGCCATGGGGGTTGAGCCCTGAAGGAGGAGAGCTCCAGGCAGGGGAAGCAAAGACAAGGGGGGGGGGGCACACTTCGTTGGGAGTCTGCAAGTAGTTTGAGAAGAGAAGGAGGGGTGTGTGCAGAGATGAAAAAGAAAGTGGGGACTAAGCTGCAGAGGACATTTCACATGCCTGAGAAGCTTGCACTGTATTTTACCTTCACCTGATCAGGTGTGAGTTTTAGGGATACCACTGTTGGTGGTGGCGTGGGAAGTGCATTGGAGGCCAGCAAGATTAGATGGTGAGAGACTAGGAAGGTGATTTTCCTATGCAACTGTCCGGGTGAGAGAGAAGAGTTGCCCGAGCTAAGAGAGTGGCCAGGGAAGGAGAGCTGTCAGTGAGCTGATGGGAGATGCTAAGGTGCTAGAAGTAAAAGGACTTGGTGACTGGTTACAGGTGAGGCTGAAGGAAAAGCATGTCGATGGGCGTGTCCAGAGGCTTCGACAGTCAGGTCGTGGTGGGGGTGTCTGGAGACAGGGAACCCAAGAGAAACAGGCCTAGTGGGGAGAAATGATACGGTGTGGGTGGGCCAAGCCATTGGTTGGGAGGTGCTAGAAGACTGTCCAAGGAGTTTGGAACTCACAATTTAGTGGCAGTCAGGGACATAATCCATTCTTTCATACTGGCATAAATTTTATTCTCTTAAAGGGCAAATTTCTAAAACATGTTTTCTTTCATTATTAATTTTTTTTATTGTGCGATATGGCTGTAATGGTCCTGTGTAAAGCACGCCTGAAACCCACTAGTCAATATTATTGGTCATTGTTTCTTTTTAAAAAGATGGGGTTCAGACATATGTAAACTAAGGGAAGTGAAGAGTGGTCCTCGCTGTAGTTGTCCTCTGAACATTGCAGTGAATTAAGTGGACTAAATTTCAGTTGTGCACAGGAACTTAAAGATAGAGCGGGACAGAACATTTCCAAGAGAAAAGGCACCGGAGAATATTTTTGCTTTTAGGAATTTGATGAGTTTGAATTATAAGGTACGCTTAAGTAATTCGTATGTCATGTTACCCGGATCTTATTACCCCAAAGATTCATCGCACAAGCACTCACCCACCACCCCCTCAATACCGGGTACTGGACAGGCTGGCCATCGCGTAGGGGCCACCGTGCCCCTGGGCGTGACCCTTCCTCACGGAGCTTATGGTCCAGCCGACTGATGAGGAACCCTGAAGGTGAGTCTTCGTGGTGTTCCCGTCGGTGTCTGCTTAGTACGCTCGACACAGTGTGAGGACAACTGTGACTCTCAGGTTCCCTAACTGAGCAGTTACCTGGCCTCCGCCGTCGCGGGGGTGTGGTGGCCGCTCCTCCACGCAGGGGCCGGCCCACGGGGACAGCGGCTCCTGGCTGCCCCGACGGGCTCAGCGACGAGGACTCGCCTGCTCAGAGGGCAGGGAGAAAGGTTGAGATCAAACACACAGGTTTTACAGTTAGAAGGAAATGAGAACCTGGTAATTCTTTGGAATTTTTACTTTGAAAATTTGCCATCCGCTGAGAAGCTGAACTAATGCAGATTTTAAATTTTAAAACCAAATGAGATTATTTTTTGAGCAAACTACAACACATTATTTCCATACTTTTCCCACTGTCCCTCGCCCGCCAGGGGACCGGGCATCCCTTCTGTCCGCCTAACTTGTTTTCTCTTTTCCGTTTTCTCCTGATTTCTTGCCTCTACTTTATCTTAAAATCCCTTCTGTTCGCGCAGTTTCTTTTCCGGAGCTGCTCGGGTCCCGGCACCTCCCGTCTAGGCCCAGCCCCTCCCGCTGAGCTTCGCTGAGCATCCCCCCGCCCGGCTGCGCGGCCTGTGGGAAGACGCGTTGGGAGCCGCGTGTCGGGGTTCGCTC